TGTTTTTACTAACAAATTTTTATTCCTATAACCACCACCTAGATTGTTGTGTAGTATTCATTCATTCAACATTTTTCTACCACTACCTTAACACTGCTAATCACAAGAAATTTCAAAAGTAACCTGTACCTCAGTTCTTGTACGCATAAATAAATCTTTAAAAAAAAATTTGTCAGGCCCTCCCTGGTGGCACAGCGTAACTCACCAGCCACTGTGGCATGAGTTCAATCCCCAGCAAGGGAGCCAATGCCCCTGGCCCAGCAGACCTCCCCTGTCTCACCCCTGCTCCCCTCAGCAGTGTATTTCAATCTGTTCTGCTCTGCTCCCCACTCTCACCCCTCACACCTCTGACTGACTCAATCCGAAAGTCAGTCTTTAGTTCTCCTAGACCCTACTTCAGTTAGACTCACATCTTTTTTTTAAAGCTCATATATTCTCTTGTTTAATGATTTGACAATGCAAACACTAAACAAATGAAAAATCCCACTCTTCAGAGTATATTCCAACTGGGTAAACACACACAATACAGATAGCATGACACACCTTGCCAAAGCCCATGAAACTGCATATATTTTAGGTTTTCACCTGCTTGCCATGCATTTTTGTCAGGTAGAGTCAGAAGATTTACAACCTCTTCAGTTGAGAATGCGTCAAATTTTAGATCTTTTTTTATATGGGGGTCTAAGGACTGGAAAAGGCAGAAAAGAGAGAAAGAAACAAAAAGAAAGAAAAGGAAGAAGGGAATTGAAAAAGGCATGCAGAAAGAGAAAAATACCATTAACAAGAAACAACTCAGCTTCTTCTAAAAGTCTTTATAGATAGAGTATCAAATGATACTATTGAGAATACATGTAAAAAAAATTGAGTAAATAGGAAGTACAAACTATTACCACATTACATTTCTACAGTAGAAGTTTAAATAAGAAAATTCCTATGTGGCAATTAAAAAAAACGGGGCCCTCCCTGGTGGCCCAGCGGGTTAAAGCACAGCACTAAGAAGCTTAAGCTACTTCCACATGAGTTCGATCCCCATCCCCACCTGCCCTGAGGAGATCCACATGGTATGGCAGACCTCTCCTGACCCGCCCGCTGCTCCCCTCAGCAGTGTACTTTGATCATCTGCCTGTTCTGCTCCCCACTCTATCTCTGGTGAATCCACTCACCCTCCGCATCTCTGGCCTGTACCCCAGTTCTGTATGAATAAATAAATCTTTAAAAAAAAAAAAAAAGAACAGTTAATAAGGGGCCTCCCTGGTAGTGCCAGGGGTTAAAAGTGCAGCACTGTGAAGCTATGATGGCCACTGTAGCACAGTTTGAACCCTGGCCAAGGAGGTGACCCAAATGATGCAGCTGATCTCTCGTTTCACCACTGCTCCACTCAGTAGTGTATTTCAGTCAATCCATCTGTTCTATTCCCCACTCTGCCTCTGGCGAATCCTCTTACCACACACACCCCCGACCCCCACCCCACCTTACATCTTCAAAAAAAAGTTAATAAAGATAACACTGTGCTGGGCCTCCCCGGTGACACAAGGGGTTAAGTCTCAGCACTAGGAAGTTATCAGCAGCCACTACAGCACAAGTTCCATCCCCAGCCAGGCAGCTAAGCCACACTGCGCAGCAAAGCTCTCCCATGCAGCCTGCTGCTCCCCTCCGCAGTGTATTTCAGTGGCTCTGCCTGTTCTACACCCCTGTCACTGGTAAACCTCACACCCTCATACCTCTGGCCTGTACCCCAGTTCTTGTATGCATGAATACAGATAATCTTTTTTAAAAAAATGACACTGTCCTAGTAGCAAGAAACAAAGGCCTAAAAGCAAATGAAATTCTCTTCTATAAATCTTTGAAAATATTCTCATAACAACTTCAAAGCTTTAGACACAAGCAAATGTGTATTTTAACTTTATAGATCCAAATGAAGAAAAATCAGGGACACACTCCTAACTCTTAAAAGAAAAAGACTACTTTCTAGTGTGATGTGAAACACCTAGTCTGTAATCCATGTCCCATTTCATAAATTAATTCCAAATCAACCAAGTTCCAATTCAAGTGTGCTCATAACTCAGGTATGATGAGTTCAATTCAGTTAACTAAACACTGAAACTAGTAAAACTCACAAACTTAAGTCTTCAAAACTTATGCCAAGAAATTTCAATACTAATTTACTTTCTTTAAAAAGTACAGAACATGCAGCATCTTTGAAAAACTGTCAAGGAAACTCAAAAAAAAAAATAAGAGTAGATGTTCACATAAACAATTTGCATTCTAATTAGTGGTTCTTGTACTTTTTTTTTTTTTAAGAATTCCATTCCTAGACATTTGAGAGTTGGATCACTTTGCCTTCCTTCAAGTTACACTTCCACTCTCCTTTTTGGCAAGAAAAAAGAAAACAGCTACTTGTAAGATCTATCAAAGACCCACTACCTCACCAGACTACACCACGATGCACTAACACTTAACTTTCAAACACTTCATTTGCTCAAATGATCAACTAAGAGCAAACTGATAATCTGCTGACAGATTACCTAACAAGGAGAAATAAACAAAATAAAGCTGTTTAAAAGGAGAGGAGCTTCAATTTGTGAATTTATGCAGATTACATCTTTTAAGTAAACAGAAAGCTTTATAATACATGGCCTCTACCAAATTTATATATATTATATAAATTCATATATATATACACATGTATATATATATATACAAATATATATATACATACACACTTATATATAAATCCTTAAAGTTATGTCACTTAAGGGAATAAAGAGTGTTAGGGAATCAACATTCCAAAACTAAAACTTGATTTAATATAAAGGCTTTTAAGAACAGTTGAAGCCTTCAAGATTGGTTTATACTTTCTACAGAAATAGTTTATACTTGGTGGGGGGGGGGGAGGTGGAAGAGTAGGGTCCCTACTTTAGATAGTGACCAGTTCATCAAAATAATAGGGCACACTGAAAATCCATTCTTCCTCATGTCCTACCAGTTCTTCCCAAACAATAAAAGTCACTCAAACCTAATACCAAGAGACACTGCACAGGCTGCACCAGTAACCAGGAAAGGGAAGCAGAAGTGTTATTGTTGTTCCAGCCTTGTTCTAAAGGCAGCTACCTGTGACTACTTCTGGTCCAGCCCACATTTAAAGAGAGAAGCCAAAGGAAACCAGAGCAGCAGGAAACAGGCAGAAGGGGCAATTACCACAACCCTTTCCCATGGCCTCATTCCCATGCCACCACTTCCAGCTACAACTCAACCATAGCAAAAGCAAAAAAGAATCTTTACAACAAACTATTGAACTCCGAGGTTACAAGGAAGCAAACTGGGGAAATAAGTGCTATAGGAAAATAGCAGTTGGGGAAAGCCATACAACAGAAAAATCAGGAGGTACATACTGGAACAAGCAGAAGAGAAGGGTGGGAAATTAATCACTTCTGCCTAGTGATAAAACAGTACCATCAATGGGAGGATAATTCAAGCCCAGGAGCCCCCACAAGCAGGTAAGGGATACTGGTGTGGAATTTATGCCCTTCCCTGCGGATAAGGCTATCCTAATCCAATGGCGGAGACAAAGGAGAGGTTAGGAGCTATGTTCACATTCCAGCGTTATCAGACAAATTGACTCTAGAAACTAGCAATGCACAATTCATGGCAAAAAGTGAGACACACACCCATGATTTAAAGTGTTATCACAGGGCCCTCACTGGTGGAGCAAGGGGTTAAAGCACAGCACAATGAAGCTATGGTAGCCACTGCAACACGAATTCCATCCAGTCCAGAGGGGATGACCCACATGGCAAAGCAGAGCTCTCCTGTCCTGCCCACTACTCCCCTCAATCGTCTGGTTTACACACACACACACACACACACACACACACACACACACACACACACTGCAACTCTGGCCCCAGTTCTCTATGCATAAGTATTTCATGTGCTATCATAATGTAAGAAAATTTTCAAAAGGGTTCATCCGATAAGTTAATTATATAACCGTTAAGTAAAAGATGATCTCTGAATACCATATGAAAACCTTAATGCTTTCAACTGTTAGGAAACAAGATGCTGAAGAAAGACAGTAAGCCTAAATACTGCCAAGCCCATACACTTTGGATATACACTTAACCAATACCCACAGAAGTCGTGTTAAACTATAGTTATGTCAGACAGGAAATAACAAAAATAGTGATGGGACAAACTCCAACAGAGAACAAGGATAGGAGACTATAGAGGTCCTTAAGCTGCCTGGGCAACTAAGTAGATGGAAAACTCAGGTGTGAAAAGTCAGGAAAGCCAAGTGGGAAAGTGATTCGGAGGCCAAAAAACCAGAATACATTAAGGAAAGAATAACACTCTCAACATGCACTGTATGTAACAGAACGCTTTCTTTTCAAAGCGCTCCCAAACCTACATTTAAGAAAAGTACAAACTGATACAACCAGAGTTGAGGAGGAAAATTGCGTCCCCCAAGAATCAGACCAAAGCCTTCCTGAGTGAAAAGGGTCAGACAGAATTGAACTATGCCTCTGAGTAAACTGGGAAAGGGTAGAGAGCGCAGAAGTTAGGATCTGAGAGGTCCACTGCCACGACTAGCGACAGGCGCGAAAGCGGAAAGGTGGTGGGGATGGTGAACGACAGCGTGGCGCGGGAGATCCGGCGGACACACAGGGAGGGACAGAGGTGGGAGAGAAAACCACACCCTCCAGGGCAGCAACCGAAGGGGGGAGGGGAAGGCTCCCCCAGGGTCTGGGTGGGGTCAGGCCCCCTAGGACTGGATAGTGAGCTCAGGACTGCCCGCCGCGGAAAGGAAATAGAGCGCCCAGGCCTGGGCATACTGAAGAAGCGTGAAGCCGGCGAGGAAAGCTCGGCCCGGTCCTCACGGGTGGGCACTGAGGCAGTGTGAAGCCAGTAAGAGAAAAGACGAGTTGAACCCACCACTAGTAAACGCACAGTGCAGAGTTCAAGATCCTGGGACAAGGAAAGAGAGACAGAGAGCCAATTACCGCTGCTGTTCTCGCTGGAGCCGGGACCCGCCGCCGCCGCCGCCGCCGCTCGTTACCTGCCAATGTGCCTCTTACAAAGCGGCGGCGGCGGCAGAGGCGGTCCGGTCCGTCACGTGACAATCGCGTCACGGGTAGAGGCGGAGCCACGACACGTAACTAGCGCGCGGCTCTTCAGCCCGCCCAAAGACCGCGTCGCTTCCTTTAGCCTCCCCCATATCCCCACCCAGGCCGGGCCGACAGCGCCGAGGAAGAGGGTGTTAAGGGGAAAGAGTAAATAAGGGCGATCTTGTGGGAGTCCTCCTACTATCAAGGGACTTCTACCCACCGCATCCAGGAATGCGCACAACTGCAGCTGTTGTCACGCTGTGATGACCTCACAAGGCACTACAAGTAGCTCCCTTGTGGATGCCGTCCTCGCCTCACGTGACACAGTCCAACCCTCAAGGCGTGCCCAGTCTCCCAGACGTTGCTTTAGAAGACTACCGCTCCCAGCATGCTGCACGGCAAAGGAACCCACTGCCGTACCCTTCCCTCGCGGGTTCTTGGTGGGGCATCCGTGACTTCCTACCGAGGGAAGGCCGAAAGGGAAAGTGGACAGGGCCGGCTTCTCGGAGTAGTACCAGTTAGGTAGCGCCTTCCAAGTAGCAGAGCGCGGTTCCTGCTGGGAGGTGTAGTCCTAGTGTGTAGTGTGGGCTTCCCGGGCTCGCGCTGCGCCCCGCCCCCTGCGCGGGAAAACCCCAACGGTTAGCCCAGATGCCCACGGCACTCAACAGGCTTCAAGACGGGCCACCGCAGAGTGATGAAGGGCTTTGCGACTTCGGGCTTGTGGAACTTGGGATCGACTTCTGCATTCCCAAGTCTCTTCTGCATGAAAAGACTGACATTTTTGGAACGTTTACTTCGTATTGGCCGCTTGTACACCATTTTTCATTTTTCTTTACGTTGTGGTTACAGTTTACAGCATTTTTATGGGTTTCTGGTGTACAATTTCTGGCCTCAGCAACTGTATATGCATATGTGCATACATGTGTCGTTAAATCATAATCAACCCTTTGAGGCAGGGATTGTCTCTGTTTTAAGAAATTAATAACCCTCCGCTGAATAAGATCTGACCTGACTCCAGGAATTAAGCAGGAGGAAATAATGGTTTGTAATTGTAACATAGTGCTTTAGAGTTTAAAATTATTTGCTCTCAGGTTTATTTGCTCCTCAAAGGCAGTATGCGGAGCTGATTAGACTAACGGACTTTGGAATCCGGCCCACTCTAACCTCCATCCTTGTTTTCCTTTGTGATAACGCTAAAGCACCAGACTGTGATGTAAAATATTTGTGTGGCATAGGGCAAACCCTCGATCAATATTACCAGTCATTTTCACACCTTGTATGTCCTCTTTGTGTCTAAGTAAGGTGGAAAAGAGAAGCATTTACTATGTTGGGGGTTTTGCCAATTACTAAGTAGCTCACTAGTTACTAAAAGACTCCTAGAACAACAATTGAAATCTTAATGCTCCTGCTCAGTACAAGGGAAGCCTTTGTTATTCATCGGAATTGATCAAAGAATGCTCAGGCTGTACTTTAACAAGTAGAATTTTTTATTATGACTATTCATATGTAGATGATGTTTATCTCTCCCCTTTTGCCTGAGCTCAGATAGTGTTGGGACAAATCAGGCTTCTCATTGTATTCTTACTTTATAGAAGTGTGTGGGAGAATCAAGGATAAAAATCACTTAGAAAGGCAAAGACTTAATGGAAAGTGCACCCAACAAAAATTTTTTTTTTAAAGATTTATTTATTTGTGCATACAGAACTGGGGTACAGGCCAGAGGCTCAAAGGTGGTGAGAGGCTTCACCAGAGACAGAGTGGGGAGCAGAATAGGCAGATCGATGAAGTACACTGCTGAGGGGAGCAGCGGGCGGGTCAGGAGAGGTCTGCCACGCCATGTGGTCACCTCCGGGGCAGGCAGGAATCGAACTCATGCGGAAGTGGCTTTAGCTTCTCAGTGCTGTGCTTTAACCCGCTGCGCCACCAGGGAGGGCCACCCAACAAAATTTTTTAAGGAAATAACACAAAGCTGATGGGTAATTGTCCCTGAGTTATGAGAAAAGGGGTTTGGGGTGGGGGGCAGTTCTAGTCAAAAGAAACTATAACCTATAATGTTTAAATTTTTAAGTGAAGAAGGTACTGGTGTTTTATTTAAAATTAACTTTAAGGGCCCACCGGGGTGGCTCAAGGGGTTGAAGTACAACACTATGAAGCTGCCCACAGTCACTGCAGCGCAAGTTTGATCCCCAGCCAGGGAGATGACTCACATGGCCTGACAGACCTCTCCTGACCCTCCTGCTGCTCCCCTCAGCAGTGTACTTCAGTCAATCTGCCTGTTTCCCACTCTGCCTATGGTGAATCCTCTCACCCCCCCCTCCCCACCTCTGGCCTGTACCCTAGTTCTTGTATGCATAAATAAATATTTTAAAACATTAAAAAGACCAGGACCTGACCTCCCTGATGGCACAAGGGGTTAAATCTCAGCACTATGAAGTTATTGGCAGCCATTGCAGCATAAGTTGAGATCCTGGCAGGGAGCTAACCCACATGACAAGGCAGACCTCTCCTGTCTCCTCAGCAGTGTATTTCATAGATCTGACTGCAGCCCACTCTGTGTCTGGTGAATCCTCTCAACCTGCCCCACCACACCTCTGGCCCACACCCCAATTCTTGCATGTATAAATAAATCTTTTTTAAAAATAAAAGGAATTTGGGAGAATGTAAAAAAAGGTAAGGATTAAAAAATAGAACTATATTTTTTAAAGATTTACTTATTCATTTATGCATAGAGGAACTGGGATGTCAGGGTATGAGAGGAGGGATAGTAGAGAGAGTAGTAAGCAGAACAGGTGGATATATTGCAATGGTTGAGACAGCAGAGATCTGCTGCACCATATATGGGTTAACTCCCTGACCAGTAGATAAAACTCAGGCCATAGTGGTAATAGCACTGAGACTTAGCCCCTAGGCCACCAGGGAGGCCCATACTTGGGTTTTGAGGTAGTTATTTTTATTCCCATTTTGCACATGATAAAAGTAAGGAAATAGGAGATTAAGTTAGATTCTTCTCAAACAGGGGTTGGCAAACTTTTGGCAGTAAATATTTTAGGCTGTGTGGGCTATCTGGACTCTTGCAAATATTCAATTCTGTTCCTCTAACTCAAAAGCAGCCAGGAACAACATAGAGGAATAGAGATGGCTGAGTTCCAATAGTACTAAATAGACTCTAAAATGTGAATTTCATAAAAGTTTTGTAGTGGCCCTCCCTAGTGGCCCAACAGGTTAAAGCACAGCACTGCTAGCAAGCCGCAGTGCTTCAGTGCCAGTTTGATCCCCAGTGCCAGAGGTGATCCACATGGTGCAGCAGACCTCTCTGTCTTGCTGGCTGCTCCCCTTGGCAGTGTGCTTTGTCAGTCTACCTGTTTCTGCTTCTTACTCTATCTCTGGTTAATCCTATCACGGCCGCTGCACCTCTGGCCTGCACCTCAGTTCTGTATGCATAAATAAATAAATCTTAAAAAAAAAAAAAGTTTTGTGGTGTCACAAAATAGTATTTTTCTAAAAAAGTCATTAAAAATCTAAAAGCTATTATTAGCTAATTGGTTGTATAAAACAGGATGTGGGTTAGATTTGGCTCATGAGTTGTCCTTTGGTGACCTTTGTCTAGAATCCAGGCATTCCTGGAGTCCTCTAGAACCCAAGCATTAACTACTAACAAGGGCTATGTAAGTACTGGTAAATTTGTCCTGGTATTTATAGTTTCTTATAATTCTGTGTGTGTGTGTGTGTGTGTGTGTGTGTGTGTGTGTGTGCGCATAGAGAAAATGGGGAACAGGCCAGAGGAGGAGGGGAAGAGAATGAGACAGACAGACAGACAGACAGACAGACAGACAGAGAGAAAAGCAGAGCAGGCAGATAGACTGAAATACATGTGAGACAGGAGAGGGCTGCTGGCCATGTGGGTTAGCTCCCTGGCCTAGGATTGAACTCATGTTGCAATGGCTGGCCACTGATTGATAGTACTGAGATTTAATCCCTTGCCCCATCAGGTAGGCCCACCCCTTATAATTCCTATAGTTAAATTGTTTTCTGAAGATTTTCATATGCAAAGATCTGCCCAGGAGGAGACTCAAAACTTACATTTGCTGGTTAGGTCACTCTTTTTCTTGCATACTATACATTTTTCTTGTGTTTTTTTTTTT